TAGTTGAGAATCTCTAACCTACAGTATAACCCTTTCACCTCTGAAAGCACAAATGAGGGCTTAATTAGACGTGCAGTCTTGCCCGGAGGGCCCAGATGGCCTTCAGGTTTATGGCAGAGGTACGGTTCGAACGAAACGGCGTGCAGAATTTTGATGGACGTCAAGAGAGCGGTGATCGCGTCACGCTATACACAGTGTCTGTCGACATCAAGACAGCCTTCGACTTAGACGGCTTAAAGCTATGCCTATGCTGGCTAATGTGGGTCTATGCACAGACAACTGGCCTTGCCCAGGGGAAAATCTACATCTATTCTTATCCTTTATTTTGTTAAAAGGCCTTTCTGACCAAATAAAAACCCCAAGGAAATTAGTATCTTGTATGCAGCTGACTTAGTAATACACAGGTCAAACAAGTTTTGAGTTCCAACGTAATAGCGAAATTCCAAAAACTAAGTGCAATGTCGTTTGGGCTCTAAGATATGATTCTTGTCCGTCTTAGTGACATTATAATCTAGTTACCGGATTAAGATCCCTGCAAGAAACATCTGCAAAATATACTGGCGTCAATTTTGCCGGTCTATGTTTGGAAGTAGAGAAATGTATGTTTGCTACCTGAGAAGCAGTGTATCGAATATGTTCGAATATATTATAATATTGATTGCTCAGGTGGGATGTCACTGCTCCGAAATCTGAATAACATCCCACTGGAGCATCTTACTAATGTAGGTGGTTAAAAACTTTTCGTTATATTTATATGGACGACATTTAAAGGTTAAAGCCGACAGTGATGCATTAAAGTACCTGCAAGCCGAACCTCTTATACGACGCTGACTCGTTGGTTCTAACTCTACTCTAACCTAACCTAATTCTGCAGGAGTACGACTTCAAGATCGTTCAAAAAAATCACTGCCAACATGAATGCGGATGCTTTCTCCCAGCTGACCTTATCCTTGAACAGGAGCAACAATGTTGAACTGGACAGGGTACGGAGAGCCAAAATAAAGAGCTCTTGATTGCGGTTAATACTCTGGAGGTTGAGAATGGAAGTTCGCATCACAGCATATGTATTTACGAATGGCTTAGTATACAAAATCGTCGAATGAGGAATACTGCTCCATATTCCCCTGCCACAGACATAGGAAGCCGTTATCGCGTGCCGTTATTTATAAATGAGGCCGGAAGGGATGGCGTGGTATGAGGTCTTCTAGCGGCAAAATCGAATCTCAGGCGACACGACAAGCTTGTGACCAAGCCTCTCATCGAGAAGAAAAAATAACATGACTCTCAAGCAGTAAAGCGGAAGTTCAGAGATATACCCCGACAGCGCAGCCAAATAAGAAAATAAGCACAACAAATATTAATATTAACATTCCTAGGTAAATGCAGCCCAGAGTTGTGTAAAAGGGGCTGCCTAAGGCTAGATAAATCACAGTAAACCAGTGGAAACTTTGTTGATACAATAAGTATGAATAGGTATTAGATTGAATATTCGGTGCGATTTGAGCAATTAGATGATGTACGAACACCTCAGATGCAGCGTTGGTGTAAACAAACAGACGAATGACATCGAATAACTTCAAACAGTTCAAATACATCGAACAGTTACTGATTTTGATCTTTCAGTCGTACTAAAGCCCTACGCTTCTTTCATATATTTAAAGACTGGTTCTTCTTTAGCATTGTCACTGGCGATACCTTTTTCAAGGGGATTAACCTAATTGTCTGAAGTTCCATGTCTTTAAAATCATATTTGAATTACAAAAATTAACATTCTCTATGGAATAAAATAATGAAGTAAAAATAACACTCTCTGTGAAATTAAAAGACACACTTCTTTGGGAAAAAAACTATTTCTTTAATTGACTACATCTTACGCGCAGCTCTTCTTAGGGTCGAACTTTAGCGACCCAAAAGAAATCGGTCTAGTTCGGCCACTAGAAGGGTCAATTTGGGTAGCAAAAACAGACTAGTGGATGTTGCTCTGCGTCCATTTCGTGGTTAATTAATTTATTTAATTTCTATGTTAATTTAGGCTAACGAAGACAATTGATCAAGTATATTAGAGATTATCCCTTGCAATTGCCTTGCCCCGCCTCACCGGTTATCTTTTCGCAGCTACCTTTGTAGCCTGTTTTGTTCAGGTCAATCCTACATTTGTATTGATGTGGTGGTTCTTGGTACATTTGTACAACATGATTACGGCATCTTTAAAATTGATTGATTGTGTATGCGTGAATAGATCGGCCGACTGTCAATGGACGTTTAGTAAATAGTACTTCTAGTAAATATTCGCTTAATAGGGTAGACTAAGCCATAGATACTGTACCTGGAACGTCATTAAGGTTTGTTTTACAATTTATAATTTTTAAAAAAGTTTTTAGACATACTATATCAAACGAAAATTGCAAACGAAAAAGAAATGCCTAACCTAACCTTTTTTATAATAAATATTTACATACTCTTATAACTGAAGATACAATAAACATTTCGTAATGATTTTGTGTTTCGTTTAGCTTTAATACGTTACCAAGGCTTACAGATTTGCTAATCTTTTTTTCGCTAATAAAAAGTTAAATATTAAGTGAACACAATGTGTCGGTTTGCATATTGATTTTGTCTGAACTTGATTTTCAAATTGATGATCTATCTGCGCAGGCAATGCTGGGAACCGTATCTGCAGTATTTAGTCAATTAGCTTAGGCTTGCATGCAAATCTTTAATATGAATTTTTACAAAAACATCAGTTCAGTTCGACCGCTTAAAAAAGTCGTTGTGAATCTGACGAATAGACGGAAGCAAAGTTAGGCAAATAGATAAATACATGAAGACCCGGCAGACTTCTTCCCGCACCGCAAAATAAATATCATTAAACATAATTAAGCTGACTGGACGCATATTTCGCTGGTGACTTAACAGCGTACAATACTTGATAGTGCAGCCAACCTAACCTAAACTATAACATACAGCAGCAGTTAATTGCTGTTCACCTAATGAGTTTTGCTTGAGCGCTATTTCATGTGAGCGGATTTGATTCGTGGAAAATTTATTCAAACATGCCTTGCAGCCATTTGCTGCAGACCACTAACACCCGTTTTCAGATCTTTTTGAAATCCTTCGATACCAGTTGCTCAATGCTGTTGAATCGACTTTTGCTTGGTTCAGCTAGTCTATTAATACTAGTTACCCCGGTGAAGTTTCCGCGCCTCACGTAAATCATTCTTCCATTAAAATGTTTCAACAGGTTTACTCTATCCAGAATTCCGCTGTCAGCTTACATCTAGTGGAAGCTAACGTTCGATAGTTTATCAACATTTTTATAAACAAGCTGTTACAGTTCTTATGCGACCGCCCTACGTAAATTCAGCCAAGTGTTTGCTTAGCATGTCGTATTCTATTACGTTGTTCTAGTAGTGGTTGGATATTCTCCTAGAATGGTGTTCCCTCTTTGCTGAAATGTTCTAATAGCTTTGTTAGTTTCATCTGTGTAATCTTACTACCTAAAGAAATCAGTAAACTTGCCCAATAGAGAAACGCAATAATGGGAGAATCGGAAGGATCAAATATATAAATTGTCCTGTCGAAGCCCAGCTTGCAAAAGTTCAAGGACAGCAAAACAATCTGGGCATTGATAAGCTGTAAGCGCCGTTTAGATAACGGCTGTGCAGGGCACACGTAATAGGTTGATTTACTGTCTACCTTGAACAGAATTTGGAAAGGAGCACAACTTAGCACGCCGTTCCCCGTTACGCATTTATTGAGACATCAAGTGAGCACAGTTAGCTGTATAGAATAGTAGCTCTACAGATTCAGCCTTACGACCGTCGCGCCTTGCTTCCAGTAGCACGAAACATCGATTAGCCGCGTTGCCTTGGATCGAGTAAAATCGCATAGCGCAGAAGGAATAGGAAATTGTGCCTCGTGCAGGAAAATAAGTATGTGTGGGAGTGGGATTTCATTGGAATGGAGTTTTTCCAAGGCGAACCTGTGCTGACCTTAAAAATCAGCTCAGCCTGTTTACCCTAAAAGGCCGATCAGTGTCAGACTCCCTAAACTTTTAGTAATTATATATATCGATTATTTATTAGGCTTGCTGGCTCTTGCGGTTGTGCCTAAATTTATGCGCAATACCGAGTGGTATCAGCATCCTATTTAAAGGAGAAAAGTATTAGCGGAATGTGGTAATTCCGAAGAAAAATAAAATTTCGTATTATACATAAAGCACGTGAAGCAATCTATATAATGCTGTCGTAGACAGTAATAGTTATCGAAAACATTGTCACGAAAACAACGTGACGATTGATATATTAGCTTCACGTATAGGATTTGTACTTGAGTTTCATATAAGTAAATTTTTGGCAGTATTAAACATAATCCATTGAATATTTGTTTAATCGTATTAGCAGTTCTTTCTCCAGGAAGCATACGACGCTTCTTCAACCCTCTTTAATTGTCTATGAATGTTGTAACTATTCTATCTTAGAAAAGTGGTCGAAATATTGCATATTGTCCCGCGTTGGTGCCCAGATTCTATTTGCATGAGGTGTGCTCACATCTTGACTTTGTACACGATATGGGTGTGAGTCAAATAATATCCAATGACATTCTAAGCGTGACCTTGATATCATTAAACTGAATGATGTCTAATAATTAAAGACCAGTAACGCGGAAACCCGTCGAGATTATTTTCAGATAAAGTTACCAATAGCCGCTTCTTAGTAAGCTTCCCTTGCTGTTAATGACTTACTCGCTATTTCGAAAAGTTAATTAAATTGTTGTATTTTGTATATCTATAGGAGTCATAAAACCTAGTCTTGTTTATATTAGTAACGAACGTTGAATGACTTTTAGACTGAGAGCAAAATTCCACAAAATAATTGTTAAGCACCTAGTAAATTGAAATGCACAGGGAAGGAAGCTAAGGAGTTGGTTCGCATCAGATTACTAAATGATCTATATTACAGAAGGTTGTATTATTACATATTATTAATGTTATGTAACAGGAAAGCGGCTATTTTGGAGTGAATGGCAAACTGCATCTGGAAGAAGGTGCTGACCTAAACGGATTCTACAGTCGCCTGTGCGATCTCTACTGGCAAATCCCGCGGCCCCAGCTCCACATATCCGATATCGTGTTGGGTCAGGGCATGTTCGGGCTCGTGCGAGTGGGAAAGATTCTTCGGAATGGAGAGGAGATCTCCGCACAGATACAAAGGTAGCTGTAAAAAAAGCTATAGTGAACACGTCTCGATAAGGATGAAACGGTCACCTCTTATTTTCGAATATTTATCTTAACTTTCGATTCGTAGGAATTTAAATTTTAGTTACCAAAGAAATCTTTATTAGGTTTTTGCAGCCGGAATTTCCCCGATTACACTCTTGAAAACCTTTTTCACATATACTGTGCGACCTGTTAAAATGAGTAACCGTCCTCCTCCAAAGAATTCTTTGCAGAAAATACGTAATGTCGTTATATACTTCCATTCGTTTTAGCACATTTAGATCGTGTGTATAGTTACATAACGGAAGCTCACATTTCTCGCTAAACACCGCATTTAGCTAACTTATCGTAGATTAATTTTGACAATATTCTATGTAAGGTTCTTCTGTTGTTGACAGCAATAGAGCAGTCCCCTTTAAAAAATAAGCCGAAAGCTGGAATGTTCAGTCGCTGTTTCTTAGACTCTACATTTCATAGATCTAGTTGTGCTCAAATATTGAACATAAACTAAGTGTTACACTTGCAAAATTTGGTCGAAATTGTAAAGTCAATTGAAAAATTGTGTCAATTGAAATGTGATATTCACCATTGTACTTTACGAAAAGTGATTCTATATTCTTACAAACCTACAAAAATGTTGCAAAAACCTTATTTTGGCCCTTTCATAAGGAAAATTGGACCGCGTATGATCTGGATATGAAATTTACATATGAGACATTTTTGTTAGTTCTGAATTAACGAAAATGAGACTAATTTTTGTTCTTCCTCGTTTTTCTTGCTGACGCATCGTACTACAGTTTGAATGAGCATATAGTCTTATATAGTCTAGTATAACATCAGTGTGCGTGCTGTGGTTCCAGACAAAGAATGTCAATCTAGGTGCTCCCAGGATCACCCTCTATTTGGCGTTCCAACTTTTCACAATCTGAATTAAACTCAGAAATGTTACTCTTAAATTTTTGTGCTTCCCTCCCTTAGTTCATCGCCAGGTGGTATCGCAACCTGGCTCCACGCCAACTACAGCCAAGCTGTTTTCAACGCTGTCTCGTGCCGAGCGGGGTAGCCTGGTTAATAGCGCATGCTGTGCAGTGCGTCAGTCTAATGCTAGTGTGAATTTAATTCGCGCTAAGGGCAAAGTACTTTTCCGTATAAAAAATTCTTTTGTCTCTTATCCCACTTGGTATGATAGTGGCGGCGACCGTAACCGTATGCAAACTATGGTAATGGCGGTAGCTGTAACTATGACAACGGGCAACACATTTTGCATGTCTTTTTTTCCATAAGGGGTACAGGCATCGCAGTGCCATATCTCACGGACCGGTGATTCAACGTATCGGAGTAAAAACTGAGATTTAGTACGCCCACACGTTACCTAATAGCACACTGCGCCAATTTTGAAGTTTTCACTTACGACTTGTTTTTTATTTCCATCTACTTCCCCTAGGTTGTCAATAATGCACACTGTTCACCTTATTGCACTAAAAAAGTTGTAATGAGCATCCTATCCTGTAGACTCCACCTCCGTGTTAATTCACCTAGATTTAGCGCTTGCAGGAATTCAAACATATATGTCCTTGTTCTTCATATTGTCATTGACAAAAAGGGATTAAGAGTTTTTTTAACATTTCTTTAACTCTAGTAAATTAGGGCACGACAGCAAAACTGAAAGCCTTTATCCACTTTCACAAGTTCGACGTATCTTATATAACTGCGATATGGTTGACTGATCACGCCGAACAATGCTCTACCTTTAATGATTATAACGCTTTGCATCAATGATGCCCCCACCAGTATGGCGACAGGCAACTACCTGTCCATACATAAACGACTAGCCTCTTCTACCTTTTCCTCCATTGATAAAACTACACTTGCATTCAGCACTTATCCTGCACTTATTCTGTAATGCTGTCAAGACGCTTATACATCGTGTTGACACTAAATGTGTGTCTCCGTTTTTCTTCTGGGAGATCTTAATGTCAGGCTATGAATTTCAGATGATGACATCCTAATGGACCATGTCCAAATGATACAGTAAGAGTTCTTTTAGTCGTTTTTCCTTTTATATCCCTACTGTTATCATTGACCGAGTGATTATCGACCCGCTTTAGTTTAAAGATCCTGTCCACTTTTTTGATCCCTTTTTGCATGAAAATATTTCTTGGAAAACCTATTTAAATCGTTTCTTCGTCAAATGTCTCCATGTTGCCCCACTTTTTTGTACTTTAAACCCCCCTTAAACTGTTTTTCAAAATTACTAATCCTAGCTAACAAATTCCTATTTGTTCCTTTTATTTCCTCATGATCGAAGGACCACAGCTGCGAAGTAAAGCAACCTTTTTTTCACCAAAAAATGCCCTAAGTTCAATTTCTGGAATTCCGTTTTTTGCTCTTGTTTTGCGACCAATTTCATAAACGCCCATATTAAACCTCTGTTTCAAGTTTTATGTCCGGTATTGCCGTTAAGCATTCTACCAGAAGGCTCGTTCCTAGTATGAAATGAAGTGTACATAGCCCCGGGTTCGAACGTAGAGAACCCGTCCTACTTTCCCCTTAATTGTAATGTAGTTACCGCTTTTACTGCTGTTGCAATTATTTGTTTGTTTGAGCTACGTTTCTTTACATACTTTTGGTTAGGCTTCTGCCGCTTCACTGCTTAAATGAATGGGGCATATTATGATTTTATTATTATTATTATTTTGGATAATGTTGTGCAAAATTTTTATCAGTTAAATTCCGTCAATTATGCAAGAAATAAGTTTTTTCGACGCTTGTTTGAAGTTTTGTTAAGCGATCTCTTTGAGGATTTGTTTTCATGTAGTACCATGAGCAACTATAAGCTCCATATAGAACTTTTTTCAGTACGTAAAAAGGTGGCAGAAGTTGTTGACCCTGACAAATACAACTTCAAGGCGTGTATTTAATTGACGAAAATTACTATTTCTAAAAATGTCAAGTTCAGATTTTCAACGGCATTTCAATAACAATTTTGTCAAAAGTTATTGGCCAGGACCACAAATTTCGATTTAAAAACTTGCATATTTCTCGTCGGCTACGAAAAATGCATATATCTTCATTTTGCTAGATAATTACCTTTTATAGTGTATCGACAGAGCACCTTAAGAAAGGAAATAGCGACGTGATCATGATGTGCATATGTAATGCCATATACATATTCTTTAAGGACCAAAAATTGATGAGTCCCGTCTATCACTTATATACATAAATTCTTTGGCTGAACCAGTTGAAATGTCCGATACCATACGACTACCTGATTTTCAACAAAACGCCGGCATAGAGATAGCTATTCCAACGATTACTGGTTTTTTGCGGGTCCCCTGAGTTTGCTTCTAATAAATAAATGTTACTATAGAGGTTTTGACCGCCTCCAGCACAAAACGAAGTGTACTTATGTTCGATTTTGAGCTCCGGACTACTTCATGTGTCCGTGAAAGTAGTAGACGTGGTCAATGCACTATCACGGAAGAAAAGCCGGTTACTAGCAAAGAGCAGGAAGCCGGGCGGCTCGTAAGATCGTGATACCTAGAGTGAAGCCAAGTCTCTGGGTTTTTAGGCGTCAGTACGGATGTAGCGGGTGATGGAATATGCTCAAGTGCGACGAAGTGGATACCGAGGAACATAGAAGCCGCCAGAGAATATAGTGTGTTGTGGATTGCGAAGCTTAGGCGACAAATGACTCGAACGAGTTAGTACGGCAGATATAGGGCTCAGAACTGAAGTGTTCGAGGGAGAAAATAAAAATAGTTTATAGTAGAAACAAAATCTTTTGTCTTAGTTACTATTAAGGCCTGGAGAGGTAGAGATTAACTTAATGCTTCATCCGTAGTGCTGACAAAGTGACCATATATGTCTTCTACCTAGCTCTAGAAACTCGCTGATCCTGATAAGAGACATCCATGGCCGAAATTCTTGTCTGATCAGCAGGTAACGGGGTGGCTGTGTCTCAAACGCGGAATTCAAGGTCAGCAGTGACAGACTGCGTGAGCACAGCTTTGGTAGCAGTTTTCGATAGTATTCACGTTTTGGTGCAGTCGTAAGCTGTTATAAATGTTATAACAGCTGTTATAATGTAGAGATACACGAAGTGGTTTAGGCTTTGTGCACAAGGTTTCATTTAGACGTGACCGTACCCATTCTTACTTTCTGCATTGGCCCACTCCCATAGGTGTTTTATGTCCAAAGTATTGTTTTGGATGGATGGTACCTTTCAGCACAGACCAGACCGAACGCATGTAATTAGTCATGGTCAAAAATGTATCATTTTCTGTTTTTCTTAAAAAGAGACTAAAGCGCTGATCAAAACTTGCCAGATACTCCTATAATTTGTCGATGAAGGAAATACCTGAAAATCAGCAAAAATCCATTTGCTTCAACTTAAAACGCGACGATCAGTTTACCAATTTTGCCTGGTCAAAGTTCTTGCTCCTTAATATTCCTTACGACTGTTTACTGAGCACTACGATGCTTCAAAATCAAGGCGACATTAACGCAAATAACGGATGTCCTTCGCTCAACCAGTATCCTATAAAGCATTACTATCGTAAAAGTTAAGCCAATTTGTCACGCTTTCCCTCTGTAAAAAATCAGTTACCCGTTAAAAGCTAGAAGAAACGAATTCTGGTAATAGTCAACTAGTGGTTATTAGTAGTGAGCTAGTTTTGGATTAGTTGCGTGTCTGTAACTCTATGTAAAGGAATTTTCGTAACGGTCTTTTTGACAAAAAAGAGGTACTGGTACAGTAGTGTTAAAAGAGACTCTAGGGCTAGACGCTGCGAGCTGCATCGAGCCAAGACGCAAATTTTCAGCCAGAGGAAGCGTACTTATAGGGGGATGCCTCACATATTAGGGTACTCGTGGTCTGCGCCGAATAAGGATACTGTTACGATCATGTGCAAATGCATGTGTGGAGATGTGTAGCAATATAAAGAATTTTTTGCGTCTGTTCTAATATATATATATATATTCGTTGTTTCATATACACAATATAGCCTTGTTTAACCGATAAGCACCTCTAAACAAAACGTAGGGTTAATGTTTCATGGTAAATAGGCTTGTATGCTCAAACGAGTCGAAAGATTTAAAAAAAATTCGATTTTTTTGGCCAGAACATGCGCAGTCAAGGAATATGTTGATGTACTGATGAAGTTAGGGCTTAACAGATACGAAGTTAAAATACATATGATGATGAAGTTTTATAATACATCTATACATTCATTCGGGTACTCGCATTTTTCGATAACTGAAAAATGATCCTACACTGCAACATAAAATCGACTTTACATTCATACGATGAAAGGTACGCCTTTTTTCGGGGTCCACTTAGCCAGGCAGAAATTTTAGGTGAAATCGGAGTTGACCTTGCCTTTCTTTTTTAACAGAGATAAAGGGTTATGTACGTAGGGTGTCCACTATATAACTGATCTTGAAATTAAACATTTCAAGATGGCAATAAACGTGTCACTGAAGTGCTTCATTTACATCATTGGCAGGTGTGGAGCACATTTTGCTTTGTCGGATAGAGAACGACGAGTTCTACTGGCTGAATTAGAGACGGTTGTGCAAGTTGGTAAGCATCCAAACGTAGTTGAATTTATCGGAGGCTGCGAAGAAGGTGATGCATTGTGGATGGCAGTTGAACATCCGAATAATCCACTCAGAGGAGTTTTACTGGCTAGCAGGTAGGTGAGGAAAAATACATACTTCCGCATTAACGTAAGCACATTTGAATTTTTGTTCAGTTTCGAGCATTAGTAAACTACATATTTTATTGTTTAGTCTAAAAGGCGCTATGCGACGATTGAATCTCGGTAAAATACGATTTTTTGTTTCCTAATTTTAGCTGGATCTTTTCACTCTGTGTAAAAAATAGTTTTATGAGTTTAAAAACTGCGCCTTTATAGGCAGCTGAGACTGGGCGCTTAAATCAACCCTAGATCTAAGTCTTGGGTTTGGCATCACTTATCTCTGAGACATGCAATAAGGATGTTGGGCGTTGTTGATTCGAGGTCCTAGATTCAAATAAACATACAAATCCAAAAGCTACTATGAAGAGACTAAGGTGAACCAAAGATCACATCAAAATTTTATGTAACATATATAGTACATAAATGGACCCGCAGACTCCGCTCCGCAGCTATTTTTCTATTATACAGTTAAATATAGTACTTTTATTATAGATACTTTTATCATACATACTTTTATTATAGAGGTGACGTTAGTCTTTACTTTTATTTTGAAACTTTTTTTTTCATTATTCTTAAAATTTGTTTGATCTTTGAGTTTTGAAAGCCCTGAAAAGGATTGATTGGTTTTTCTTATCGAATCAAATAATTTTATTATTATTGTAGACGCAATGTCATCGAGCATCGCGGTCGTAGTTCCGGTAATTAGGCAATGTATATGTGAATTAACAGAGTTGTATATAGGACGGTTTACGAGTAAGTGAGTCCTTAGTTGTTGACGACGATAACGTTGCAGAATACCATGCAGCGTGATATTCTTGTTTTTGCTCTTTTGAAGGAAAGCCGTAACGTTTTGGAAGTTTTGCACATGACTGAAGGTAACGTTTACTTGGACATGATCAAATATAAGATATTTGAAAGTAATGAGGACATTGTTCCTTCTTGTGTTTTATGAATTATCACAGCCAGACATTGTTGTACCGTAAACTCACGTCGCCAAAACAAAAATTCGTCTTTTGAAAGATTGAAAGTAATTTTAGAAAGCACAAGAATGTAATCTTTAAATATACCCCCAATAATCCTTATTAGAATAATATGGCTGTATATATCAAGAGCAATAATACTTGGGCTTTAATTGGGAAGGATTAAGTTTTTCATAAGGATGATCGGTAGACCTTGCCTTAGTTGTAGATTCTAAAGCGGCAGTCCAGATGGACTATTGAAAAATTCTGTGGGAAAATATGCATCGGCGATCGCCGCTACTGGATGGAACACGTGATATTCCCTGAAATTATCAAAAAACTATTTTATGCAAGTATTGTTAATATTCAGGATCTGTTTAATTTGCAGACACTAATATGCATATTTTAGTGAGAATATCTATAGAATTTTTAAATGATGTCGGTGTATATATAAGATCGATACGTTGTAGTATAGAATCCCGTTTTAACTAATATTTTCCGTCGCTGTAATTTTATTAATGGCGTTTTTTAGAGTTTTACGGAAGCTGGAAGTACTTGGCGTCAGCTCGTTTAACCGCATATTGGTAAACCAATTGAATATTGTAAAATGCCTCCATAAATACGATTCTTTTATAGAGCCGTCAGTTATATCGACATTGCTATTTTTTACTACTGCTTGCAACTGACGGAAATCGCCTAAACAAGCAGCTAAGATTCCTCCAAAGGGTCCATCTTTGCTACATACACCGTGAGGCTTTCGACCAACGATTTCGAAGGCCTCTCATCCATACGGCATTTCTCTCAGATGTGTGCCGCCGTACGAAGTAGATCCGTCGTTTTTCTCTAATCCCTTTCTATCTTGAATACTATCCTCCTTGACATGAATGGAAATTTTGTTCTAGGATGCGCGGCTCGTCTTCCGGGCGCCAAGGTTGCCGCAATCTTTGGTGGTGGTACTGCACTTTTCCATCTTTCCTTGCTTCGGGGAGCAGGTAGATTGTACCTGCTCCCCTAATGCGCCGACGAAAATCATTGAACCGTTATTTTTTTTCAAGGAGCCGCAGACATTTTCTATTTTCTTCGTTGTTTATTTAAAAATGGTTTGCGAGTGGTTTTGATTTACAATGAGGTTCTGTTCCTTAATATTTTGCTGCAATTTCCGTGGAATGTCCGCGTTTTTGCTTTCTTGGTATTCTTGGAAAGGTTGACAAATTGAAATATTTGAGCTTTTCACTAAAGTTTTTTTATTTACGTGAAGATATCTATAAATTTTGTCGTTATAGATGTCAGCAATAGAAAGGGTCACGTTGTTCCTCAATTCTCAGTCTTTATTGTAATCTTTTGAGGCGTTGTTTTTCTGAAAAGGAATCATATATTTAGTGAATTGTTGGCTTTTCCCATCATTAGCATAATCACAAATAGCTCGCGAATTGCATGAGGCATCTGGGTTTGCTCGCATTTTCTATGGTCTCTTGCCAATAGTCGAGAAGCAGTTTTTAATGGTGGAAGAAAAACGCCTAATAATATTGGTTCTCAAACATTATGAAGTAATAACAATAAGTAATAGATTTATTCCCAAGCGTGCAGAGACAACTGAGCAAATTCTCTGTGCAGTAAGTGGAGAACTTCGGGGCTTCTAGGTGTTTTATGTTGTTGCGCTTGTTTTTGGCCCAAGTGTAGAATTTGAGTAAGTTGACTCAGAACAATTGCCACCTCGACGTTGAAATATACTTGCGGGCAAATCAATTATATTGCGAAATATATTTAAAGGAAAGGACAAAACGAACCTGGAAGTAGACGAACAATACCTCAATGGTATTGTGCGATTGCACAGATGTTAATCTTTCAGAAACATCAGCTATGTTCACCCAATGAGTGAATTCATTTACTCTCTTCAGAAGTTTAGCATTGTATGTGACATGCTATTTCGATGTAATTTTGATGTCGATGCTGTTGGCCCATTTTGTAATCTGCGAAAACTCCCATTGCACAAACATATCGTAGTTCTATGATCGAGGTTTGATGTCCTCATCGAGTCCCAACATAATGTGGGCATGGCAGCCCGCTTTTTTGGTATTTCTTGGTTGTCAGATATATAATAATGTTGTCGAGCTTCTTTATATGGTATTTTATAGAAATGGTTTTTCAGCTAAAACATTTTTCGATCAAATCTGGGCTACCTTCCGGTTGTTGGCTCTCGGTAAAATGCCTTACAATTTATGGTTAACGCGCTTTGCATGTCATCATTAGTAATATACATTTCTATACGTACGAATATCAATCGTACCGTCCTGTTAAACTTCTGCTATGTGCCTTGGTTCGCCTTGAAATGAAGATGAGAAGATGGAACGTGTCTCAACATCTGCGAATTTTTCCTCATTGTTTTTGGCATCACTGAATGTTTTATGCATAATCGATCGTAGAGATTTTATCACGTCAAGCATAAAATTACGCATCAGACAGACCATATATTATTGAAATAAAGGGTCCGCAACATGATTAAATTGATTTCCATAATGATTCAATGCGATTACCTTTTGTGTCGCGTCATGCACAGTTTATAAAGCCAATCATCTTCACCAAAATAAACAGCAATACGTACTCCAAGCAGTTATAAGATAGATGTGATCCTGAGGTGATGATGATGATTCGTTTTTCTATTTTGGTCATCTTGTTTACGGAGACTGCCTGCGTGCCCTCTGATATTTTCTGAAAAGCCTTTGCTGATATTATTAATAGCTTGTGTACAATACTTTCAGTTTTTTAGGCAAGTTTATATCATTTAAGTAGTCCTTTTATACAATTGAATTGAGGAGGTAGGCTTTACGGTAAAATTTTGTCCATCCTGCCGATCTCTGCGGACATCTTCTCGTGTTTGTTCGTTTGTTTTGCAATGTATATGTTTTCATAGCATCAAACCGATGTCGATTTTCCGTTTTGTCTCGTGTTTTTGCGTAAAGATGTGTTGCCTTTCACTATCTGTTCAAGGGTGCTCATTTGCTTATTCTGCTGTTTCAACAGTTTTCTTCACGTCTACACCATTTTAGGTAGCTATCCTTGACCATGATCGTTACGGCATGGTACGGCTGAATAGTTAGCTATGATGTTTACACACAGGTCCTTCTATAATATGACTTGAAGACAATTTGTTATGTAGCAAGTGTTGGGCTCACTTACTTACGGAACTCAAGTTTAGGGCTTATTCACGGGACACCATTTTGGCACCGACTATATATACCAGCGCTTCCGGGACGTATGTAAATTGGCCGGCCGTAAGCCAACCTCTGAGGAACATGCGTGAATCGGGATAACCTGGGATCAACTTTTAATAGACATTGTGATTGATAGAGATGGCTAACCTATTGATTTTCTTTGTGGGACGTCACTAAGGCCAAAGGACGTCATAAAGTCAAAATCTTTTTAACTTTTATATGAAACCTTAAGGCATAATATATTAAATGAAGATTATTTCTTTTTTGGGGTGTTAGCAAGGCTTATGGGTTTTATCTTTCCTTTTTACAAAAAAATAATTGCACATATTGAGATAAATAAAGATGTGAATACTTTATGATCATCATGTTTTGGTTAATGTGTTAATTCTGCTTTTCAGTTTTTTTATCAATAAGTAATCATATGTATTACACTTAATAAGGCTATAGGCATTCGGTATCTTTCGGTTGACATGTTGATCCTGTTTTAGGGACGTCACCAAAATTTGCTTGTTTTCGTTTTTCGTTCCATTTATATACCTTGGTAATTTCTTTCGAAAACAAGCTAAAGAAAATTAATTGTACATTTGCCGCTTCAGCTTTTCAGTTGACATGTATTAGAAATTCACCAAAACACTTAGAATCGCATTTTTACCATTAGGATCAGTAGGGCTACCCCCCCCCCTTCCCCCCGGTTTAGAAAAAACTTCTTGAGAATATTTCTAAACAACTGTTTGTTATTTTAGTCGCTACGATATCCCAATTGATACTTGAAGGAGATTTGTTCAAAAAGTACCTGAAAACGCATTTTCAGCCCACTGCCGGGTAGACTAATCAAACTCCGCAATAGACTTAAAGATTTTAGATATAGGGATTTTCGAAACGACCCTTCTTGCATAGAACACCATTTTGAGTCTCGGCCTTCGGGGGCATTTTCGATGTTAAAACCGAGGTTCGGGTATAGGGACATGTGTTGTACTTTGATTCAACTCGGCGAGAGCATTCGATTGGTATCAAAAACAACCCCAACTCCACATAGACCACCATGCAAACATTCGACTGCAGTTTTGTTAGTAGAAAAAATGTTGATAAAAATCCCACTACATGTGTGCTACCCCAAACCCTACAACTTTCTTGCAGACAGTCAAAAAGCCTATGACAGCGGAGGTCAGATGTTTTGGCTCGTGATAAATCCGTACTGTACTTATTTGTGTATCATACAACAGGCTGTCTACTTGTAAAACAAAAGCAATGCTATACTCCAGCCAAGCTTGATAATAGAGAAGTAAATGAGGTCCATTGATGTAACGTTTAAATGTTTAGATAATGTTTTACTCCAAATGACAATGGCGTATGTAATTACAGATTCAAGAAGAATTAATAAAATATAAACGTATGTATTTTGGGAAAGCTCTCACGCAGAGACTAAATGGAAGAGCAACGCCTGGCATTTTGGGCTAATGCATGTAAATGACTAACCCAGTCTTATTTTGGTGCATATGTTAAGTCAAGATGTTTAGCGATGAGTTTAATGAATGTCTGCCTCGAATGACTGTCCCATCAAAATCGAACTGCTCGCTATGATGATCCCACACCATTCGGTATAATGATAAAATGCGCCAACGACTAGATAGATTGAGTGGCCGCAAAGAACTTATTCCTGCCTGCAAACGATAAACTCGCGACAAACGATGGTCCGCTTTGATATAGGTGGTCCAGAGCTACTTTGTGGTTTGAAATACTTAGAACCATGTAAAACAATGACATTTCTGTTTATTGCCTAGACAATGTAATCTGAATTTCGAGAGTTTTTTGACGGTTTTTTCAGAATCATGACTTTCCTTGAGTCGAAGGTAGAATACGCCAAATTCGAATCGCTGCATCGAAATCACGCGGACTTGTTCAATTTCGCTTGTCTCGATCTAGGTGTTAATTGAAGTGTATCGATAAGGTCGTGCGTGTGTCCTGAATAGCGTCCGTGGTGGCAGCAATGCCTTTTTCTATTTGAGATCCTGATGCACCACACATTTCCTCCGTAGTCTTTAACCTCCCAACTTTCGTTCTTAAAATGCTTGCACCAGTAGCGAAATGTTTTCCGCTACATGCCCGCCGTTTTCAGCAATCCGTGGTGATTTCTATCAGTGCTTTTACCTTCAAACAAGAAAAATTAAATCACTGAGCACTAATCTTCAGCACTAAACACTGCGTTTGACTCTAAAGTGACCACTATTTATTTATGAAATTTCGTTTATTAATAGCGCTAGAGTTTTTTCAAAACGTTTGCGCATTGATCAGTACCACACAAGCTATTACTGTAAATAGCTACTCAGTATCTGCTTGTAATTGATTTTGAATGGTCACCGGTGTAATACAAACATTGTTAGAAGTTCCATTCTAGTCAAAAAATAGTTGCATCCATATGGTAATAATGAAGTTTCAACTGTTGATGTTTCGGTTCAGACAGCAAACGGAAAATCGAATAAGCAGCATCCCAGAATACCGGCTAATGGAAATAGCAATATCCCTCGCCGATGGCATGAAGCACTTAGCACACCGTGGCGTGTGTCACGGATGTCTCTCAACTCGCAGCGTAATGGTCCACCTGCCAGAGATGACACCTAAAATCAGCAACTTCTCTATTTCCAGGTTAGTGTTGTGCCATAATAAACATAACTAACTTCACAGGCAATCATGTCATATGTGACATATAGAATGTCAATGATACGTTGTGCTGAATGTGCTCTTGCTTGCTTAAAAACCCGGATGAATGTCACATTTGCAAAAAAATTTATATGAAGAAATAATTGTCTACTTATCGATTTTAGCAAACCATAGGTAAATAACAATTTTTTATAAAATGGGTATTGCGCTTTTCCTAATATTGGACTGCATTGCAATTTTTCTTTGAAACTAATTATAAGTATTTTTTTTTTTGCTATCACGTTGTTTAATAAAAGTTAGTTATATATTGAACCATTATCGTGACGAAATTCCAGTTTCAGTAGGAATACATGAAAGACATTGACTGTCTCTTTTATGGGAGGCATCGCTGTCCCATCTACATCTCCTTTTGATATTTTGGCCGAATGAAGCGCTATAAGCCCTACGTAGCGTTATTATAATATATACTTAATATTACTTACGTTATTATATTATAGTATATATTATAATATAATGACGTTTATCGTTCAAGCTGTAAAGAGACGAAAAACTTAATAAAACAGAAGCTGCGAGTACTTAATCATTGAAAGATACATTATCACCACGATGAGCGGACTGAGTATCTTCAAGAAAGCAACTGCGACATAATTACGTGATAGAAAAAATAGCAAAAGACGCTAACAAGGTTGTTGGTTCTGCGGTACTTAGAACCTAAACTTGGTTAGACGCGATCCCATGTTCTTCAATTAGGACACATGTCGACAGCGCTACCCGCATAACCGTCGATTTGAGTTTGGGTGCATACACGAAAACGGGTACGCTTAATAATCCACCACAGCTCTCGATATGGTTAGCTGGTTGGCGATCACGGCCGACATAACTTGCCCTGAACCAACGTAGGGAGAAATCCGAGGCACCCTCAGATATTATAAGGTGCGATAAATGGAGAAGCTTTAACTTGAGATTGCCCGCGAAGTAACAAGTTGAGCCGGCTTGGCAAAATAATGCAAATTGCACAAGTACTTACTACGGAAATATCTTGCATTCATTAGCGTTTAAGAGACTGAATTGGCCGTGGCCCATGGTGATAGATCTTCTCGAAATTGTATGCTATAGACCAGAAAGAACCGCAGAGTATTCATGTTGTAAAAGACGTCCATGGACATGCAGCGAAGCGATGCTGCCCATGCTATGGACATAGTATTTCAGTGGACCGTGCGGGTTATCTGGTGTAAGGGAATTGATCGACTTAGTGATTCCGGATATTTAAGGTTAATTCAAGGATTAACAATAATTGCAGGAAAATAAAAGACAAAAAGCTCTCATTTTAGTAGATTTTTTAGAAATAAAAATATTTAATACCTGAAATATATGTATTTTATGTCGCATATGACACGACTTTTCACGTCTTCGGCCAGAGTCTAATCCGTGGAAGTAACTTTGTCGAATTTTTCTCTTGGATTTCTGCTTGAAATAATACATCTTTAATCATGAATTGGTGTAAATTAGGGATACGACCAGAATATAGTAGGTGCAACTGGTAAAGATAAATTAAGTGCAAAACTTTTGTCTCGTATTACATTATCTAGGCGATAGAAGTTACACATAACGTCGAAAGACAGCTAGGTTATTTAGAAGGCATGGATAACGCTATTATTATTACGTCACACAATGTAATATGTTTTGTTTTCATAGGCATGTCGATTGAGTGATAGTGCTTCGGTATCTTTTTAGGACAAGGAGAGATATTTTAGTCTCTTACAGCATTTTAATGCAAAATTCGCGAAAAGTGCTATAACTTCTAACATTGCTTACCCAACCAAATTATTCATTTGGTTGGGTAAGCAATGTTATGAGCTTGATAGTCGTACGATTATTTAGGTATTTAGTGTTGTCTAAAAAACGAATCTAGTACAATTTTTGGTTCCTATGTTATTCTGGTATTGCATGTTTAGACTTAAACTGTTATTAGCGTACCGTAATACATAATCGAAGTCAATAATATTTTAACTTCTATTCGAAAACTTAATATACTGCTTATGCAGTCCGGCTGAGTGCAAAAAGTTCTAAAAAATTCGTGTCATAACTTACTTTGGTTAAAACGAAGGAATTTGCAAGAAAAGATACGAATCGCACTTAGAAACGTTAAGAAAAAGATTGAGATTCTTGTCATATAGTAAAGCCGAATAAATTTACCCTATTTTTTCCAATCTGCGTAATGCAAAACTAAAATTGATGTTCTGGTCCTATCTACCAGCGTTTTCTAGTTGCGCCCTCGACGATGTTTTTGGAGTGAGTTCTATAACTACTGGACGTGTAGCAACGTTTAAACTGCCATAGTGAGATGTAAACTATGTTATTGAAGATAGTTCACAATGAAAATAACATTCCATGTTCACACGAATTAGAAAAATAAATATCTACAGTACATTAAGTAGCTAATGTCATAAAAGATTATAAGATTAGAAAGTAGCTAATTGCGACAATAACGAAAGCTATGACAAAAAGAGAATCATATTGTACTTTCCTGATTTCCTTTTCCCATTTTTAAAAATCTCTTAATATGTGTATTTGTATTTTATGAAGATAAATTAAAGCTAAAATTACATTTTGATACGGCATCTGTATTCTAATAACGTAGAATACTTTTTTGTTTACTTGTAACTTTAATTAAATATTGCAGATCAATTAACTGCAATGTCTAAAATAGAATTAGCTTGACGTCGAATTGAAATAAGAAATTCTGACGCTAAAAGGAACCAAGAACGATCGGATATAATAAAATATAAATTGTTAACCTTCAATGCTAAATGAAAGGCTATAATAAATAATTAATGCATCGAGCAGCTTGTGCTCACTGATTAATCGCAGGGATCTGTGCATGTGTGGAAGACCAAATTACAATATATCAAACAATATCGAAATACATCAGGAGAAGCAAGCCCAAAATTAAATGTCGTTATAGAGAGTAAGAGATTCACTGATCTCTTTAAATGCTGGCCATCCTCTTCAATTTCGTTAAGTTTCCACGACAGTCTAAGTGAATGATTTTCTACTTCTGTAGCCACCTAAAGACCTAAAGCAACATTATTGAACAGATATTTCACATTTAAGGAGGTTGTAGATTTAAAAAATATTTTATTATTAATTAAAGTATTAATTAAATTAGTAAATTATATAAAGAATATTAATTAAAAATCTAAAAAGTACATCGAATGAAGTGTGTATTCAAAAAATGAGTATTTTATTGGGTAACTCGTAGGTCGCGGGACGAATAGACGGGTTTAAATATAACATTTTATTTACTTAATTAATAATACTTAAATTAATTAAGGTTTAATCTTTAACCGAATTTAAATGTTCAAACGTTTTGGTAAGCCGGTAGGAGCTACTAGTAACCAATATATTTAAGTTAGAGGTCTGACATTCTATAACAGTCAATTTTAGCTTTTTTTTTTCACTAGTGATTAGATACGCGAATGTCTATGATATGGCGTTATTCGTGTCAAGAGAAATGCATTTGATGTATTTGCTGTAGTACACAGCATTTTAAAAGGGAAGGCATGTTGTTTACAAATGTCCAGCTTGTCCTTAAATAGACGCCTTTTGAAACGCAATCTTCCTTAAAGACAAATCATAGTTGTCGACAATGCGCTCCCACTTATATCTAACATATATCTAATATGTAATATTAATATATACGTAATACATGTAATATGTAGGTAACATATCTAATATATAATGCCTTAACCTTAATTAAGAAATTAATCATCCTCCTAATAAACGTTACCGTAAAAAAGTTCCAAATATTTTTAGACAACGTATTGCGCGTCAAAAAACATCGTGATCGGCAAACGAAATTGAGTGGGTTGCTAAGGCTGAGAAATGGGAAGGGACGCGACAGTCATGCTTTGAATCACACCTTACTGGACGGTGACTATACTATTGAAAAGGCCAATGTATTCCAAAAATCACTTGCGGTTCATTAAACACGATTTAATAAAATGTTTAAGGAGATCTTGTATACTTTGCAACACAGATACCTCTACATTTTAGCGTCTTGGTAAGACGATTGATTAATGTGTTTTAATTTTGCATTTCCTAAAATGTGAACAATGTGCGGAATACTGTGTTTTTGACGGATTCGCGCATAGGTATTAAAATCCTGAACATGAAATATGAAAAGGACCTGAAAATAAATAGTATTTCAATGAAAATGTTAATAGGATTGTTACTTCAAGTAAAGACTCTTCGTCCATGAGTTGTTTTTAGCGACCTAGAAATGCCCGGTCTCAGTAACCTGAACAAGAGTATAAACAAGAGTGCGTTGGACGATTTTTTCCATCTTTCGTGTTAGTGAAAAAGTATATATACACTTTGTGGCTACTAAGCGAAATAAATTTTAAAAAAACTATTTTAAAGCGTTATGAGCTTCATTCCAAGGGTTGCGTCTTGTTCCATAAAGACGACACCCATCAAACTCGAAATCCTTCTATGAAATCACTCTATGTATTTAGTACTACGAACATATAAGTATTATGGCAAATGATTAATAATATAATAGATAAATAATAACAATAAAGCAAGCGTTTACAAATGGTATGTTTAAACAAGTTAAAGGTGACGTTCTTAACATATACGCAGAGCCTATAAACAACACATAACACTGTCCAAAAATATAAGTGATTATCAACAATCGATGAATCACTGTTTAAAAGTTTTTGGTGATGTTGGGATATTATTTGGCTCGTAACAATATATTTTTGCGGACGGTTCGGGTATGGAAAAAAATTTTGAATTTCAACAAAAAACAGCGCAAAACAAACATCGCTCAAGAGCGGTTAAGTGGAGTCAGCCGGAATCTTGAAATGCTTTAACGGTCATGCCTGGTGATATGGTATCTAAATTTAAGTCCAATCGTTCCAATAAAAGCTGCTTGAAGAGCCGAGGCCAAAAAAAGGTTAGATTTAGTGGAATGTGAATGTTCTTACTATGTTTTTCGATTTCAACGGTACAGTCTACTATGTTCTTTTTACTAGCTTGGGTTGCAATAAGGAAAACTGGCTTGAAGTTTCACGACATTCGCGCGGAGCAATAAAAAAAATGGCAGGATTTGTAAAGAAGCGACTTTGGGAATTGCAGCAATGATGTACCTTCTTTCCATATCTAAAAAAAACCTTGAAGAGACGACAAAAATAAGTTAAAGTCCTTAAGAGAGCTAAGATATATTCCAAAAGTACCTTTGAGGGAACAATACTTATATTAACGAATACAATTTTTTGATGAAAAGCAGATCCCACGAAACCTCACATACTCATTTCTAGTAAACAATTTGTATCTGAATCTGATTAATTATTCTGCGGAAATTATCATTTTTTTTACCTTGCAGTCAATAGTATACTACTTCAAGTAATAGCCGTTTGTATTATATAAAATACAGTCTGCAGTATCCTTTATAAAAACTATAAGAAAGGTTTCTTTTCAAATTTTATATAAACAAAAAGTTAGATTCTTTAATATTGAATAAATGTTCTTCATGACTGTGTCAATTAGCACCACTATATATATTTGAAAGGAAATCATTTGTATTCTTACTAGTGCATCTTATATTTTCTAACTTAAACCTTAAAGCTTTCAAATGATACCGGATATACACACGAAATTATCATCATCTATTCAGAGAACAAAATACGAAAAACAATTAACGAAATTAATATATTTTTAACATATTACTTAGCTGTAACTTGTAAAAGTTCAACTGGGCAAATTTTACTGTTAAATATATCAATCTTCCTCACAAATACACATATTTGCATGTTTATTTATTTTCGAATCAAGATTATTTCAATATTTACAAGTCCTCTACCTTTCGAGATCCAAATAAGCTATGCATTGGCACTCTTTTTTGTTGGTTTTGTTAATTCAATAGGACTAATACTCCTACATAGCTATTCCTACATAGCTAACTACCTCAGCCTTATTCTACTTTACCCTCTCTATGTCGAGGAAAGACTTGTGTAAGCCATTGCGAGTTTTGCCGAGTAACTTCATGGAATCCAGGAAATCACTTTTTATGATTTCAATCTTCAGCCACAGTGTCCTGTCTTGCAGTACACTCTTAACTTTTTTACTACTTAGGTAAGCAGCAAGACCAGTCAGTTCAGAGCTAGCTTGCCTAGCAGTTCGGTAAATAGTATCTGCAACGGAAACTTCAGTTTCAAAGAAATTTAGTAATCTCTACGTTGCTTATTTAAGAAAGAGCAACATAGAGCCTTGCGAGACGCCAGCTGTCATAGGTACTCAGATGTCCGCATTCGGTATCGTGCTATGTCACAAATAACAGGATATAATGCGGAGAGATAGACCGTGGCTCTTTTTGTCTGTACTCTCCAAGATATTTTCTATGATGAACCGTTATATGCTCTTTTCGCATCGAGTTGTCGTGTACATATAAATGAACTGTATGGCTTCTCAGTTTTTGTGATTAGGCCTTGCATGGCCAGTGAGATAAAACGATTCTTAAAGCCAAACCGTGCTTGAAGCAACGTGCCACATTCTCCGTAAAATTTGGCCTTTGAAGTTAACAAACCACTTTTCCTGTAATACCTTCATTACTCTTAATGAATTCAATTTGGTTTTGAAAAGCAGTTTAAATTCTTTCCTGATTAAACTTATAATTGGAGTTATTTTATGAATTTCAAATCGTTTTACATTTATGTAAATTTTACACATATCAAATTTACATGACGTAAAAGCCACGTAATTGTAGTGAGGCGTAGAGGTCCCCTTACTTGAGGGGAAAGTTGACCGCAATAAAACCCCAACAATGGAAACTGTCAACCTTACGGTTGCGATTTTGGTGGATATCTGCGCATATGATATTTCAATTTATATAGGACAGTTTCGAGGCATAAAAGTTATGTGTAATGCTACCTTTTGCATTCCTTTAAAAAAGGTCAAGCGCGGGATTGCACTGTACTAGCAAGACACACCCACATTTTTTTAATTTAATTCTGTATATAGTGTAATATGTATTTGTAGTGTATTGTAAAAAGCTAGCCGATAGGATATTGTACATGGTCTAGATTGCACCCAAACCATTTCAAATGACAAATTTGGTACAAAAGATATTACATCTCAAAACCGGTAGAGAAGAATCGATTTATTCCAGAAACCAATGAATCGCTACTGACGATATCAAGATCTTCTACTACTACTTACATAAATTTCTGTTTTCAGATATACCCCCTTGGGAAAGAAGCTTGATTATACTCGATGGACAGCACCTGAAGCCATGCGACGAAGGGTAACACAAAAAACCGATGTTTGGTCTTTTGGAGTGCTTCTCTGGGAGCTTTTCACATTTGCGGGGACACCGTATGTTGATCTGAAGTCGAACGAGGTGCAGGCCAGAATAACAAAAGGTCATCGCCTGCCACAACCCCGTGGAGTAAATACCAGTCTTTTCCAGCAAATGCTGAACTGTTGGGAAATGGACCCCGACGAGCGACCATCATTCGAATTTCTCGCCCGAGAATTGCGGACAGTTGCTTCAGAGGATCCCCTTCGATTTCCCCAACAAATTAAATATATATATGACAAGTTTGACCCGCTTGCAGATGAATCGTAGACAAACTTGTTAGAAAAAAACTGCGATAGGCGCCGGATTAATTAGGAAATATTAATTGTGGTAGATTTGATAGTTCTCCGTCGATGGATTGGCTTGTAATACTTAGCGTAACAGGCACATGTAAAGTAGTAAATTAAAATAAAATACCACAAAGCGAAGTAAGTATTAGTTAATTGGACACAATGTTCCGTTCACAAAACCTCAGCGCAATAGTGCAACAATTTTAACTTTAATGTACACAGTATATCTAGCGTATCATTCGATTGCATAGCAGCATAACGATTATGATTATCTCTCTTATTATCCGTGCTCAGTATATTACAGAAGAGTCCTAACGGAAAATACGGACAGATAAAAGATGGCAATTTAGTATCTTTCGTTCCTACACATTTTCAAATTTAGGGCTGCTAATCATGCGAACTCAGGTGCTCACGCCTACTGCATTGTTATATAATATATCGTCATAAGGCCGAAAACAGAAACGACAGAAAAATTATTTGCACTGAATAAAAGAAGTCAAGGCTAATAGGCATGGCTTTATATGTAGTCTGCTTCGAGGAGTACTGCTGGGCTCTAATCCCCTTTTTATCAAAATAACAGTCTCCAGGGCATTGCTTGCCCACTTCCTAAATGCATTTCTACGCATTTCCTAAAACAACAGCTTTCTTTATCTCAGTTGACATTTTACTACAGATTTCAAAACATGGTTTCTTCAGGCTTAGTCAGACACGCTGAGATATTGTCACATGTTATGTTCTTACTATGTTTACGTTGCGTAAAAGAATTTACCATTGTCCGTATATAAGAGCATTTAATCATCAGGCCATAAAAGGCCTACCCTCATATATTTTAGGTATCAACAAATTCGAACTTAGTCTATGCAAACGATGATACTATTGTGACGCCATCTTTATGAGCAAAAAGTTCTGCGACTTTCTGTTCTATTTTTAAAAATGAAGGTAAACGAATAAATTTTGGATTCGGAAAATCGGATAAAACGTCCCTGTTAAAACTACCACAATTTAGTGATAGCATCGAGCTTCAACTTAGTTTAGAATGAATTTACGAGTTTTTCAGGGCGATATACACGTTTCTTATCAAAGCCAAATTATTACTGGAAATAGCGAGGTATTTTACCTAATGCATAAGTAGCATCACGATAATCACTTTCATAAATGATTATCACTACGCTACTTGTTATTGCTATTGTGAGAAAGTTACAGAAAAGATACAAAATATCTTTTTCATCTATTCAAGCAAATCCTCGAGATCACATTTTTTTCGATACGGCGTCAAGGATCTGTCGCCAACAGCAGTTTCCCCAGAGTCACGCTTGAGTTATATGAAATTTTTTCGATCAAGAGATAAAACGACACGGAAATCATATCTCTGTATCATAGTTTCTAAAATACGTAATCTTCTGGCAGTAATAATTTTATGAACATTGAAATAGCCGTATATTTATCTTGCTTATAATTACTCTGGTAACACACTCAGAAAGATATGCGTTAACCATCTGGACCACGCTTGCCCGGAAGTACTATTGGAAGAACAAGGAACTCAGCAAATTTCTTAATTAGCTTCCTGCCTTTTATAAGGACAACTAACCTAGATATTTTCTAAACATTGTTATAAAGCAATGATTAAATAAATAAGCAGATACATCTGAAAAGAAAGCTACATACATTGCCTCCGCCGTGTTAGTATTGTGTTCAAGCACGAGCCCAGATGAAACGTAAGGGCCAAGTGGGAAAAATATTCTGAGTAAATACATTACCTCCATATATATGTATGCGATATATTGTGTTTTAGTGCACTTCTTGACAAAATCTAAGGGCTAATAAACTATATATGTGTTAATTTAATACAATATAATAATTCATATATAATATAATACAATAAATAATTATATAGAAATAGCTATTTTTTAGCTTAAACCATCCAAACCTACAGCATACTACTGTCAGATGACAATGTGAATCTCACCTAAGCAATGTGTTCTACAAAAAAAACCTGAAAGGTGAATGCAGCATAAAACTTCCGAGTAACGACGAACAGTACACTCCTCCCTTCTTCGATTTCAACGTCTTGTTACATAACAAATTTTGATATATTATACAACACTGTTGCTTTATGGTCAAACATGAAAAGAGCTACTGAAGGCAGCCATTGTAGTATGTATACATCACGCGATGATTATTTTCAAACGTTGGGGAAAAATTCCAAGGAGGCGACTTTAAAAATAAAAATCTATTAAATAAAATGGGTGAACCTCCCATACAAAAAAAGTTTATGGAAATATCGAAAACTGCGACCTCGAGAAAAAAGTCTAATTGCACCTGTAGATATGTTTTGATCTCGCTGATGAATTATGTGGATTCTCAAACTCTGTTAGTAAATCTCACAGTTCGCGAGATAAATGTAACAAACAAACTGTGTAAATAGCCAAGAGTACCCACTTCTAAACGTGGCGTACAGTCGCTGACATATTTACGATTTTTAGACGCATTTGTGGATATTGCCTCATAAGTTTGGCGTCGGCCAGAGATAACCGAGTTTATAAACCTTATTTACGAACTAAAGTGACATGCAATTTGTGCCAGCCGAAGACAACATTGGACCGCCTCCTAACGTGGCTGATTCATAAATTTGAAATTATCGTTTTCATGCATCGGCGATTCTTATTAACAAAAACCTTAGCCCGTAATTCAGTGATCAATTATCAGATCCATTTTAGACAATGAAGTATAATTTAATAAAGAACAAATTCTTATGTAAGATCGTTCGATGAAATTTTCGTGTGTTGTGGTTTATAGACATAATTCCCAAAGAAATAATTTAGCTAGCGGCTTATTAAGTTGTATTATTTTCAATGAAAGTTAATTGCATTTACATTTAAGTATTGAATATGTCTTAAGAAACATTACGTACGTATGCGATTATCCTCAAGGTATGATCACTCTGATTCAAGTTGACCGCTAACCCTGGGCCACTGCAAATCATTGATCATTTAAAAGAGTTCGTAAAACTTTAATAGAGATAATTCCTTTGACTACTAATTTTACGAATGGAGCTTTTTTAGTTTTTATATGAATATCTACCTTTTTGATAATAAAAGAGTTGATTGAACATAATAGCTTTATTTCATGATATATGCCATTGGCCTCGGCCTTCAGTCTCTGGCGCGCTTGTTAACCTATTTTAAATATTGTCACCATGTGGTGGTAGCGAAATACCACTGCAGAAAACTAAAATGGCGAAAACTTTGATTTTTTTGTAGTTCAATGAACAAAATACGAGCATAATATACTACAGCTCGTTTCGACCAACGTTACGTAGGTAACTTTACTTGATAGGTCCTAAAAGAATTCGTAAAATTTTAGTGGAGATTACGTTTTTAGGTGTTTATAATTTTCACGTTTTCCTTTGGATGCAAAAATACACTTTCAAGGCCTACATACCATACATTTTTATTCTCCAAGCACATACTGGACCTAAATCGTAAAATATCATACTACTTAGACATTGCTGCCTGAAAAGACGTTTATGAGGTTAAGTCGTGCGTTTTGCAGCTCTACGATATACCGGCCTTTAGGCTAGCTACGCTGTAGGCTTTTATATTTACAAGAAGCCCCATTCTGTGCTAGTGAGGTGAAGGATCCGTGTGGATCAACTTTTTAGGAAGATACAAATTGCATCATCCGCACCATTGGGAACTTAGTTGATACCTTATAGTGTAGTGATACTATCTGTCATCCTCGTTTTTTCTTTTTTCTAATGCCTTTCTTTGTATATACTAGGCTGGCTGTTCTCTCGCACTTCATTAACATGCAGACGGAACAGCCATGCTTAATGTTATTCTTAAAACTCTATATAGCCGATGCACGAAAATCAGTTTATATACCATAAAACAACTATGTGTGGACAACAAACATCAGTTGCCTCATCATCAGCACACAAGATCAGATTTTTTTACGTATACTTCTTAAATAAACCTATATATGTGTAGGTTTACCGTTTAAGCACTGATAACGTAATTCGAAGTATCATTGCGCTTTAAATGTGACTAGACCTAGAGAACCCTATTTATGCTGTTATTTGCTTATGCACAGGACTAATGCAATCATAGTTCACGTGTTGGCACCTAAGTGAGCACCACCCCATTTCATAGTTCTAAATGCAGCCTGTTTCTGAGAATGCAAGTAATGATTATGCCGGACGAATTAATGTTGCGTATGTCTTATTGTCGATAATATTTTTTATCTACTTACTTGAAAATATACGTATTATTTAATTAGAAGTCCTATTTCGGCTAATAATAATGTGTTTCGTCTGAGTACTATTGTGAGAGTATTCGTTACCCTTCTACACGAGAGATATAGTAGATCTGCGTTTTTACTTTATCTGTGAAGTTAATGTTGCATGGGGACTAATGTCATTCTGTGTTTATTACTTACAGATCAGCATTTTCCTTTCTAATGCAATGTATTAATGGATGCTTACCATATTGTAGAACATACCGAAGTAGGAAAACTAGTCCTATGGGGAGGATGTAGTTTATAAAAATTAAGCCGTTTTTAACGTTGCTCTCAAAAAAATGACTCTTTAAATAACACATATTTTTCGGTATTGTTCAATGTACTTCGTATGATAGTCCAGCCAGACGGATGTAATTCATAATGTATACTAGAGAATGTAAATAATATTTCGCGCTGTTACGAAATTTTTCCTAGAGATGGTTACATAAAATTGCCAGGAAAAAACATTAATATCTGTTAATAGTTAGAATGCAATCTCAGTAATAAAGCTTCGGTTACATTTCTTCATTTTAAGAAAAATAGCGGTCAAGCATGTACGCGCGCAATTTTTTGTGACATCATAGGTTTAAACGCGTAAATCGAATGTGGGATGTCGAATGGAAGAATAGCTGCATGCGAAGAATTGGTCTCGCTCCTTATGTAGTTAGAACTAGATGTTTTATTCATGTCACATATATAATGGTACGGCATTTGAAGCTAATTCAGCATACAGCTCATAGAATTTTTTTTGTTTCAAAGAGAAGTAATACAGTTCGTTAAGTTGCTCGTTAAGATGTTGATATCTCTTACGTAGTAGATGAGAAATTAATTCATGTATATTAATAGATAAAAATACAGTATATGTACGCAATTTTAATCAATAATGTTACAAATATAGCTTTTGGGATTCTGTGTTTTGAATCGATAATCTATTCCATGACGAATGAATCGCTATGTGAGAGAAGGTGCTTATTAGATGTTTGATATATGCACAATGAAAATTATTTGGATGGAGTATTATTGTCTAAGCATGTCACATTCCTATGTAGTACTATGTATTTCAGCTAGATTCAAATACAATCACCTGTTATGGTCTGGATTCATTTATGCTCTAAATCCCTTAGTGAAAAAGCAAACAGAGGCAAAAACGTTATTGAGGAACAGTTTGATCGCAACAGCGCCTTGGAATCACAGTTACCTTCGAAAATAAATAAACAGATCAGTTAACTGTGCCCCGAAGGTACGCAGCCTTATGGATATCATTGTGAGAATCATTTATTTTATCTTGAGTGAATCATGGTACTTCATGGGAGTTGCCTCTTAGTCCTAAATTTTTATCCCAGTAGTGCACTCAGCCGGTGGTTGTGATCTACTATAGCTGTTCTAGCTATCCACCCTTTCTGGGTGGTCGCCTCTGCTCTGGCTATCGGCAACGTCGGTGGCCCCGCGGCGTCCACACGGCAGAAGATTCTTTCTATTTGGTCTATGATTCTTGCTCCTGCTTCAAGTGCGTTGCTCCACTATCGTTTGAATTGTCACTGCCATCACCGAAGCCACAGCTACGAACATTTGAGAATAATGTAGCAAATGCCGACGGTTAACAGTGCCTCCATCACCGCAGTGTCCTTCTTATATGCATAAAACACCTTGAATCTACTTTAAAATATGGTTGACCGAATCGGCTAAGCATCAAATGCTTGCGTTAATGAAGAACATTAAAAGCTCTGTGTTAAAGGAGGTAGAACTTGGCTTTCGACGCTATGGCATAAATACGAATAGGACTGGTACGATTAGTCGAAAGGTTCATTAAGAATTTGTTCTTCCATTCATTTTTCAAAGAAATCGATTCTTGATTAGTAATAACACTTTCTAACGGGTTTAGAATAGACAGATTGAGCAAGCGGAAAAGTCAGTTCTGTTTATGCTACTGCCCCCAGAAAGGGGACAACTACTGTACTCAGCTACTCTTTTTGGAGCGTCTAGTGGCGATTGAATAAAGGTAGCACAAGCAAAGTCAGTTGTTGTCGCTGCAGTAGAGTATCCATTGGTTATTGCTGGCAGTTGGCCCTTGCGTCCACCCGAATGGGCCGTGTCTTCTTTTCCTTTCCCCTCAGATTTGGCTGTTGGATGGAAAAGCGTCGCTCACTCCTCCCCATGACGCTGCCGAGAGGACCATTGGGTCGGACCACACACGATCGTTATACCGACATCAACAAAGACTTTATCCGGCAACGACTATTCCGTATGGGTCGCCTGTTGGCCACCGATAGTACCGGCAGAGTTAGCCTTAACAATAACCAAATTCAACAACTGAGCAGCGGCAGCAGCAACATCGCCAATAAGTGGCAGCAGTACTTACCTCCAACAAGCAAGCTGTGTCAATGATATTCGCAGCTTCTTATGCACATGGCTTTTCATCTTAAATTGCCTAGGTCAAATTTTGTAACAAACGAGGTGTGCTTGACACTCGCCAGGAATATACTGTCTCAAAGATGTTTTAAAAGGTAATTCTGCACTACCGGAAAAGTCGCCATATTTACTGTTGAACTATTAACTAGTTATTTGGGATATTTCGCGCCTTATGTAAAACTGAGGCACTGAATGTGCCACTTCCGAGTAGGCGCAGAAGATGGGCACAATGTAAGATTGAATGCCTAATAGTGATCATTTTTCTTAGAAAACATCTTTTACAGTGAAGTTTGACAATGTACTGTTTCCATCGGGATCTTTAACTGGAATATCTCTACACATCATCGATCGCTTCTAATCAAGGAGAAGGTGCGATTTGGGTTCAGTGAGATGGCATTAGCAGATCCAAGTGGATCGTCGGTTTTCTACGGCAGAAACGGAGATCAGATCAATATCGTGACGACGTTTTCAAGTAGTTCCCTTGAGATCTTAGGGTGCTCAAGAACTTTGCTGCAGGTTTTATTAAAGGTAAGCTTTTGAAATGTTGTTACACTTGATTATTCATTTCTACTGTTTGATTGCCAAAATGTGCTAAATTTAACTTCTATATAACAACAAACAGGTGAATGACACATTTGAAGCTTTAGTGCAACCTCTTTCTTAAAACCTGTTTTGTCTAATGACTCGACTGTGTACTCTATCATTTCCGTAACTGTATTCCTTTTGCTTTGGATGGGATAGACATAGACTCAATTTAGCATTGGTGAAAAATTGCATCAAGTTCCTGAAGTCTTTATGAATATTTTAAAACTGGTAGCTTTAAACTCACGCTAGTTAGATGACAGTATTTACTAATTGATACTAAACATTACCTAGACTTTTTGTCACTTGACACTGCAGTATGTTATGTTATAGTACTATGAAGCATAAGTGAATGTTTTATGTCTGATGATGTGCTGGTTAACCATTGCTTCAGACGGTTTCAAACCACGAAACCTGAATTTCGAAATCGGATACAACAAAACCTGGAAGCTATATGTAGTCGATAAATGACAAAGAGAGAGTTGTCTTTCCGGAATA